GCATACGCACGTGTATGTGTACACATGTGCATGCGTGCGTGCATGTGTGTGAGAGAAGATATATCTGTAGATGTGAGTGCACATCTTGCATATGTACGTGCTTGTGTGCATGCCTGTGGAAGTCAGAGGTCAACCTTGGGTGTTGTTTCTCAGGAGCCCTTCACCTTGTTTTTTTTCTGTTTGTTTTGGGGGATTTTTTTATTTGTTTTGTTTTGAGGCAGGGTCTCTCATTGGACTAGATTTCCCTGATTAGGCTTGGCTAATGGGCCAGTAAGCCCCAGGGATCAACCCATTTCTACCTGTGCAGTGCTGGGATTACAAGCATGCACCACCACCCCCAACTTTTGACATGGGTATGGGGGTCAAACTCAGCTTCTCATTTTGCATAGCAAGCACTTTACCAATTGGGCCATCTCTCCAACCCTTGGCTTTATTTTTTAAATAAAATCTGTGGCTTGTAGTTACACTAAAGGATACATCTGGGTTGGGTGCCAGGGTGCTAGTCAAAGAAGTTGAAGACCAGGGGACTATTTTTTTCTTCTATGTTTCATCACCTCTGGCTCTCAGTTGCTTTTTCCTCATGGGTTTTTCCTCATCTGTAGAGTTAGTTACATTAGTGAGTTGCTAAGATTGCTTCTTAAGAAGCTCAGACACATTGTAGGCTTTAAGGGACACAGTTCTTCCTTTTAGATCTCACAATGAAGAAAGTCCTGGATTAATTCCACACTACATGGTTATACCGGGGGATGAGCAGCATCGAGCATCCCCTTCACTCCCAGATGACACCATTGAGCCCTTCTTCATTCAACTCGTCTCCTCTGGGGGGCGCAGTTGGGGCCCTCTGACTTAACTAGGATCCACCATCTGAATTTTGTCCCCGTGGGTCCCAACAGAACTCTATTTAGCTGAGACTTCATCCCATATTATACTAATAGAAATAAACCTCAGAAAGGTAAGCCATGTGTTTCTCAGAGCCCAGGAAGTAATGAATGCAAGTGATTCCATATTGAATTCAGGCACCCTGTCCAGAAGGCAGACATCCATGAGAATCCCCCAGAACACCACTTCAGAAAGCAAAATGAGAACTTTTCCTTGGTTCTCTCATTTTTAAGACATTGTCTTTTTTGAGCCAGGAGAAGTCCTCAGATCCTTCAGTCCTATCCACTTTGAAGGGATTCTGGTGAATTGAGACAGCAAAGAATAGCAAAGAGGTTAAGAGTTTGCCTAGGATTCAGGGTCAAGCTCCTAGCTCTGTGACTTTGGGAGGATTACTTAACCTTTCTTGGTTTTGCTTTGTTTGAGGCAAGGTCTTGCTATATAAGCTAGCCCAGACTGGCCTGGAATTTAAGGCAATCCTCCTGTCTCACGCTCCCAAGTGCTGGGATTACTGGCATGCACCACCACATCTGGCTAAAATTACTTAACCTTTCAGGGAGGCCATTTCTGTTTGTCAAATGTTAGAAGAATTGGATGGGTGCCTGGCTGGGTAATTTCTGGGGCTTCCTGATTGTTTAACTGTTGTGGCTGCTATACTTTCCATCCATCCATCCATTCAATAAACATTTATTGAGTACCTGATATATGCAAAGCACTATTCTAGGGCTACAACAGTGAATGAATCAGGGGCTGGGAGGAATGGCTCCGTGGTTAAGAGCATTGGCTGCTCTTGCAGAAGACCCAGTTTGATCCCCAGCACCCACATGGCAGCTAACAACCATCTATAACTCCAGTTACAGGTGATCCAACACCATCTTCTGACCTCTGTAGGCACTGCATGAAATGGGTGCACCTTCTTGCACACAAGCAATACATTCATACACATAAAATAATAAATAACATTAAAAACTAGTGAATGAATCAAAAGAGACAAAAAAGTCTCTGCAATCTCCAAACTTATGCTTTATGAGTAGAAATACACAACATAAACACCTTGTATATTATATGAGAAGGTAGAAGATGCTGTGGAGAAAAATGAAGCATGGAAATTGGATTCAAGATGCCAGGCATGGGAGAGGGGTGTCACCTTATGGAAGAGTCTATCGATGGATCCCCCAGTTCATTGCTTGGGTAACCAGTGCTTACTAAACACTTTGCAAGGCCCTTGGAGAAGCATCTTCCATGATACTTTGATTTGGGAGGTTGCCGGGACTCTTGTCGTGGACTCATCTGACACCCAGAAGCAGGATTAGTACCTGGCTCTTCATGATGCCTGTGTTGCTATGGCGCCACCTGTTGCTCAGATAACCATGGCAATGAGAAACAAAACTGAGAAGAAGAGAGCATCATTGGTCCTATTCTCTGTAGCTCTAAACTAGTACCCAACCCTCATGGGAGAGAGCCAGGAGAGCCATCATCTCTGAGGACACCCAATATGGATGTCTTTAGACTTGCCTTCTGACTTCACCTTTTAAAATCATGGTGAATATACAAGACAGAGAAAATAGAAATTAAATGAAAAAATCTTGTCCCAAACAGCCGATTCTTCCTCCCTTGTTAATATGCAAACTCTGGGCCACAGCCACCTTCTCCCAAGCCGAAACAAAGTAGATCTTCAGTAGATCCTGTGACCCAAGAAACTTCTTAGACCTGAGGAATCAGTTGACTCTATTTGTTCTTCATTAACCAAAGCACATATTTGCGGCTTATCCAGTTTGAAATGACAGTAAATATAGAGTGCAATCCCTCAAGGTCATGAATATTTCATTGTGGTGATGACTGCCACATAAATATTGCATTTGAATATTATGTCCTGGGACATCACATTAATATTACAAGAAGATGCCATTACCCCATATAATTAAACGTGGAGTTTAAAAGCTAGCCCATGAAAAAAGAATTTGCTAGTCCCCTCACCTGTAGTTTTTTTCATTCTTTCTCTCTGTTAGCATGGTTTCCATGTAAGTTACCTAAAAATTAAAATTTTGAGCATGGTTTTGTGCAGCTGCCTGGCATTACTATGATGATAAGTACAAAGTCAAGGCAGGATTTTATATTCTTAAAGTCAGAGCTTCCTTTAACAGACCAGCTGTGTTTGCAGGGGGGTAATGTAACTATAATGAAAAACCTTCCCCAGAAAGGACAAAACTTTACAAATAAACTTGTTAGGAAAAGAACAAAACCAAGGATCCTGAAGACCTGGGTCTTGTGGACACTGGGTCTTCTGGTGAATTCTGCCTATATATGAGTCCTCTGTGACTTTGGAACAATGCTCAACCCAGTATAGACTGTTGCAGAGGTGACAATGAGAAAAACATTCACGTAAGAGGGTTACTTATCAGAGCTTGAAAGATCCAAATTCCCAGACAGGTGTGTGTGGCTCGGAAAGCTGAACAGAAGAAAGACCCCTTGTTTGGGAGCCCTTTGGGCTGTAAGCTCTCCATGGATACCCAGTTCATTCGAGTAAGGATCATCATCCTTTCATCTCCTTAACCCCCTTGAACACCATACCTGGGCACACAGCAGGTGTATAGTAAATGCTCAGTGAGAATTGAGAGTTCAAGAAGAAGGCTTGCTTATAGCTTTACCCACAGTTCTAAGCAGTGCTCATCTGAGGAGCTGTGGTTTTTCTAGCTGTAAAAAAAGGAATGCCAACGCTGCCCTATTTGCCCTGTATAGTCCTAAACAAGATGATGGTTTTGTTTAGAGAGAGAGAGAGAGAGAGAGAGAGAGAGAGAGAGAGAGAATGGCAGAGAGCTCAGCTCAGTTTGGGGGCTCAAAATTCAAACTGAGATCTAGCTGAATTCAAGTACCAAATCATGGAATTACCAGTGGTCACTGAATTTGTCACAGATAGTAATCACATGCTCTGATATCACATTATATAGTTGACCTAGATGCCTCTTGGCATCAGTGTTGCACACTGCTTCTACAAAAATACTTATTAGACCTGCCAGGGTGCCACCATATCTTGTTGTTTAATGTGTTGATGAAGAAATAACTGAAACAGCATCATTTGGTATTTTTCAAAGCATTTTACAAGCCTGTATATGATGTGTGAACCAAGAAACATCTTTGACAGGGCTGGAGAGATGGCTCAGCAGTTAAGAACACTGGTTGTTCTTGCAGAAGAGCTGGGTTCTTATCCCAGCACCCACAGAGCAGCTAACAACTGTCCATAACTCCCATCCCAGGGGATCCGACAGCCCCTTCTGACCTCTGCGGGCATTGCACGACATGGGTGCACTTACCTACATGCAGGCAATACGTGCATACACATAAAATAAAAATAATAAATAAAATTTTTAAAAAAGAAACGTCTTGGAGTCATAGCTCAGTGGTATAGCACTTACCCAGCATGCACAGGCTCTGGGTTGGATCCTAAGCATTGCAAAAAGTAAAATAAATAAGGAACTTCACACATTAATATTTCATGGTTTTATTGTAGTTTTATGACACTTTGTGTGTTTCCACCCCAGGCAGACCTCAACTTACTGTGTACCTAGGATGACCTTGAATTCATGTTCCTCCTGCCTCTACCTCCTGAGTACTGCAGTGATGTGCCACCATGCCAAGTTTGTGTGTTGCTGGGGCTTGAACCCAGGGCTTCGTGCATGTCAGGCAGGCAACCTACCAATTGAGTTATGTCCCCAGCAAGTGTAATGGTATATGTACTGATAGAGGAATCCCATAGTACCTTCCTAGAATGATGACCCACAGATGACCCACCAAACTGCCACAGCTACCACAAAAAGGCTATTTGGAAAGATCTCTAGGGAAGCAGTGGATGAGTGGATCATGGCTGATGGTGCTGGGTAGTTCCATTAGGCTCTCTAGGCACTAGTGGCCTCTTCTATTCAATAGAGCAGTGCTGGTTTCTGCCCCATAGCGTGCTACGCCTTCCCCACTTGAGAGGAGCAAGAGGTGAGATCTGCACAGAATCTCCTGCTCAGAACGTGCACACAGTGCTCAGTGCTGTGATGGCCATAATGGGGTCATTTGGGCTCTGGACAGAGCTCCCTCTCCCAGGGCACTTTTGACTCCAGGCCATTTGTTTCACCCAGGTTCATCCGGAAACAAGGCCTGGATCGACTTTTCTTGGAGTGTGATGCACACATGTGGCGCCTGGGAGATCGGCAAATCCCAGAGGGCATTGCTGTGGATGGTGGCTCTGATTGGTTCCTGCTAAACCGGAAGTTTGTGGAATATGTGACGTTTTCCACAGATGATCTTGTGACCAAGATGAAACAGTTCTACTCCTATACCCTCCTTCCTGCTGAGGTGAGTTCTGGAAAGATTCTGGAAGGTAAGGGCTGGATTAACCTGAGGAGAGAGTGAATGTTTGACAGTGTGATCCCAGCTGTACCTGCAATGCCCTCCAAGCCACCAGACAACAGCTGAGAAACACTCTGATCCCTGAGCACCCGCGATAGCAAGGTCTCTGGTTCTCCTGTAGTGTATAAGCACCGGGAAAAAAAAAAAAAAAAAAAAAAACCCTGCTAAGACACTCAATTCCTATTGGCTATTTAAAAAGTTTCAGGGCCTGGTGAGATTTCTCAGTGGTTACAGCACTGACTGCTCTTGCAGAGGACCCAGGTTTGGCTTCCAGCACCCACATAGTGCTTCCTCCACAGGCATTACATGTATGTGGTTCACTTACATCCATGCAAACAAAACACTCATATGCATAAAAATATAAATAAATAATTTAAATCCAATATACTGATTTTTCTAGAACAAGTCATTGCTGCCACTTTGCAGCAAAAAAAGTATTAAAATTACAAACCTCTCTGATTTCTAAAATATTGATAACACCTCATTTGAACTGAGCAGTGTGTAGCCTGCCACAACCATACATGATAACATTCCCAGGATACAAACACATCAACTTTTTTTTTAAAGATGTATATTTTTATTGAACTTTTGGGTTACATTTCATATATCTTAATCATATTTAGGCCTCCTCCCCTCTCTGCATCCGGCATTGCCCCCCACCAAAGTCCATGCATTCAGTCATATATGCTAAGGTCTATCAAATCAAATTTAGGTACACAGATGTCCCTCAGTGTGAGCTCATCCACTGGAGTCTAGTCAGCCTATCTAGAGTCACTCCCTTAAAGATCACCTCTCCCTCACTCTGCAGTAATCAGTTGCCAGTAGTTCTTCAGTTAAGGTTGGGACTTCATGCCCATTTCCCCAGTTCCATGCTGGGCTTTTGTCCAAGTTGAGTCTGCATGGGTCTTGTGATGCTGTCACCACTGCTGTAAGTTCATATGAGCAAAGTCCCAGAAGCCTGGAAGACTCTCCTTCCTCATGGTCATGCACCAGCTTTGTCTCTTACAAACCTTCTGCCCCTCTTCCATTATGGTCCCTGAGCCCTGGGTGGGTGAGGACAAAAACATCCACTTTTAACAGACCTCTGATCGTCCATCTTGCAGTCCTGTAATAATTTTCAGCACCAAGAATTTCTTTTTTTCTTTGAATACAGCTCTATCATTCCCTCATAGAAAGTAGTGTTTTCTTCATTTCTGCACACACACACACCACACACACACACACACACCAAACCCAAAAGGTCCCAGAGATTCCTTTACTGGCCCTCTCCATTGTCAGCCATGACAGCCAAGTGCTCAGGGCTCAGCCTCTCCTTGAAATGTACTGAAAAATCCCCAGTGACATCAGGGTGGATCCCCAATACATAAGGGTGCAGATCATTTTAGCACAGACTGTCCCATCCTGACATGTCTGTGGCACGCCAACAGCCACCCTACCAGATCTGTGTTCACAGCATCTAGGTTCATCTCCCTGACCGTCAATCCACTTTTACCCTAACTTCCAATGTCGGAAAATCCCTAAGATTGTTCTGTCCCCAGGGATCCTGTGATAGTTCTTGTATGTGTTTCATTGTTTCTCCCCTGACTGCCCCCCCCCACAAGCTCTGGATCACACCCTCTGGAAAATTCTGCATGATTGACTGACATCTAGGGAGGGCTGACTGTCCACACAACTCCAGTGGGATGAGGAGCTCATCATTCCTGGGCCAGGTTTTGCCATTCTGCGCACATGTTAAGTAATCAGCTTTTAATCCTATTTCAGCAAAAATCACCTTTTCTTTCCATTACGATAACCTTCTCATCCATTATCTTGCATGGAATTTATGCATCATTATAAAGGACACAGGGCAATTGGTAATTGGGTACTTTCCCCACTGCATGATGGAGGAAAGGTGCCTCTGTGGGCTTGTGGACAATTCAGGTTTAAATCCATGTCCTCTGGCAATGTCATTAGTATCATAGGAAGGCAAGTGGGTGGAGGATCGGTGGAGCCTCTATCCACCCAGTTAGAAGAGATTCCCAGGGAGTTTGGTTGTTCTCAGAAGATGCCAACCACACTGTTAGTGGCTAAAGCTCCTCCATGTGCATGTATTTCCCCTTCTGTGCCCCAACATAAAAACATGTCCCCCAGGGCTCTGTCAGACCCCTCTTCCTCCATTGCTGTGTCTACCTAGCTTGTTCTTCCCTCGGCACCTTAGGGGACTGGCTTAGAAGAAATCTAAAGGCTGTGCCCATAAATTTGCATCAGGCAGACACATATCCCCAACAGTTTCCCCTGGGAACCAGAGTGTAGAAGAAAATGTGTTCTCTTGGTGCTAGAAATTGTTATAAAACAGTGTTGAAATAGAAATCTCTTCCTTCTCTTAGTATCTCAGCGGCTCTCAACAACCATTGTCTCTCCTCTGGTCTCTCTTTTTACACTTAGCATTGCTCCTCTCTCCAGATCCTTATAGGAATTTGCCAAGCATCCTAAAATGAGGGAGGGATGATGGCCCCTGCTTCATTGCCAAGCAGAGCCTACAGCCCATTTCTACCTGTGCCGTAGCCACATCATGAGCCCTGTGGCTCTTGATTGAGCACCATGAACAGCAAACACCTCTGTTAGCACCACACTGTGTGAGTGCAGTGACTCCCGGTCCGGAATCATGGAGCATCCTCCAACCTGTAGTAGCCACACTGTGAGCCCAAAGGGTCTTGATTCAGCACCACAGACAGCAGTAACCACCACCCCCGCCCCCGCACCCCCCCCCCCCCCCCCCGCCCACATTCCCAGCCCACTTATACCCACACTGTGATCACAGCGGCTCCTGGTCCAGCACCATGAACAACAGAAACCCCCACCACACTGTGAGCTGCACCACAGACAGTAAGCAACCCTCCCTCCCAACACACACACACACACACACACACACACACACACACACACCTTTGTTACAGTCACATTAAGTGAGTGCAAGTGGCTCCTGCTCCAGCACCAGACAGCAGCATCCTCCCTCCTCACACAGTTCCCTTTGCCTGCATTGTAGCTACACTGTGTGAGTGTGATGAACCCTTGTTTATCCTCATGGACAGAGAGCAGCCCTACCCTTCCCTGGCTTGTAGCCATACTGTATGTGTGGATCCATGAGTCTGGCCTTCCTCTCCCTGGGGTAAAAGTCCAGTTCATTGAACACTGTTACCAATCTACCTCAGACCTGAAGCCTATTGGCTTCCAGTCTGGCTTTTTGCAAAGCAAGAGCCCTTTTGACCCAAGGCTTCCTGAGAAATTGTCCCCATGTTTGCCTCTGGTCTCCATAAATTGACACATTCTAAGAGAGTCTTCCTATTTGTTAAGCTGACCGAGATGTCCTAGGTGACAAGGCCTAGACATCTTGACATCAGATTCTAGGCACTGGGAAAATAAATCTCAGAGAAACAGGCTTGTAGGTAGATTAGCCACTGAGGACAAAGCATGCAGCTGTGCCCTAAAGTGGAAAGGCCTGGTAGCTGACTCTGTGTGCCCATAGAGAGCTGATGGGTGTCCAAGAGAGCCCTTCACAGGTGACAGTCCTCAGGAAGGAGGCACCAATGCAGCACACTTGGCAGAGGCTGGGGAAATTCTCAGGCTGGACCCTTCCTTCCCTTGCAGTCCTTTTTCCACACGGTCCTGGAGAACAGCCCCTACTGTGACACCATGGTGGATAACAACCTACGCATCACCAACTGGAACCGCAAGTTGGGCTGCAAGTGCCAGTACAAGCACATTGTGGACTGGTGTGGCTGCTCTCCCAACGACTTCAAACCTCAGGACTTCCATCGCTTCCAGGTGAGCCTGTGGGCACCGCCCCCCAGTATGGGGGGTGCGGGGATCTCGTGGCACTGGTCCCCTGCGCGCACCCTGGAGCGGCGGGTCTGGTCGCGCACCGCGTCGCTGTCCGCTGCTGGGGTGCTGAGGCGGCAGCGGGTCCCGCAGCGTGTGGCTCTCTGGCAGGTCCCTGCTTCTCCGCCGCCTCTCTGTGGGTCTCTGCTGCCGGGGCTTGCCCGGCCGGGTTCCACCCTAATTTCACCCGTGCACTTCCTCAAGATGCGAAATCCACCGGCCGCTGGATCACGCGGGAAGGATCGGGGCGGCTAAAGCTAGGTGTCCGTGAGTCGGCTTACGAAGAGACAGCTCTCTCCGGGAAGGCTGGATCATAGGCAGTAAGACACAGGACTCAGCTCAGTCTCAGTGGTACAGCCTTTATTCAGTGACTCTGCTCGGCTCCAAGTCTTGGTGTTCAGCTTCAATTATTGAGGGGAAACCAGGAAACTTATACTTTGGGGGCAGTGGTAAAAGCCTTAGCTGATAGGTACTTTGTGGGATGCCCTTATGTACTTTTGGAAGTGGGCCCCTGCCATGCTGCCAGACTGCCTGAAAATCACACAGGAAAGGCTGGTAGTAACAAAGCCAGAGGCTATGTTTATGGTAGGGCATCTGTGGCGGGCACTTCAAAAGACGAGTCAGGAAGATGCCAGAAAAGCACTCTGTTGAAAAAGGAGTCCCTGCATTTGAAGCTGAGCCCATGGGCTATCCGGACATGAAGGGACTTCTACTTACACAACAGGGGTCCCCAACCCCCCCCGACCACCCTCCCAAGCAGGCCACTGAAAGCCTCCAATGTTGGGCCTGTGAACCATCTTACCCTCACTCCCCAACCCAGCTGTTAATAAGTAAACTCATCAACAGCTAGATTATCAAGCACTTAGCCCGTGCAAAAGCAATTGAATCATCTCACCCCTATTGAGTCCCAACAACCTTACCATACACATGTTACTGCTATTGAGAGAGAAAACTGAGGCTCAGCAGGTCTAAAACCTTGTTAAAGGTCACGTAGCATGGACTGGGGAGATGGCTCAGTGGGTAAGAGTGTTTGCTGCATAAGAATGAGGACCTGAGTTTGGATCCCCAGAACCCACACAGAAAACCAGGCATGTCCATATATGTCTTTTTCTCTGATGCTGGGCAAAGACAGGGACACTAAGATCTCTGAGGCTTGTTGGTCAGCAGCCTAGCTGAAAAATGGGAAGTTCCAGGTTCAATGAGGGACCCTGTCTCAAAGCAGAGAGTGACAAAGAGCCCGCCATCCTCCTTGTGGACTCTGCATATGAACACATATGCACAGGTGTTTACACATGCATGTACATGTGCACATACACATGTGTGTACACACAGAGGCACACAAGAAAAGATCAGGTAGAATGCTTCCATTTCCAAGTCCATTCTCCTGTATTTTCTGTATAGCCTCTCAGTTACAGTCCCCTGGAGTCTGTGTTAAAAACATATTTTCAGGTACTAGCTTGAATGTATTGAAGGCAGGCTTTTCAACCTAGCACTCTTGATATCATGGCTGGGTCACTTTGTGTGGGCAGGGATAGTCCTTTGCAATGCAGGGTGCTGAGCAGCATCCCTGTTCTCCTCCTATGAGTCACCAGGAGCATTCTCCAACGGTCATGACTAAAAATGGCCCAAACATCGAAAAATGTGCCCCCAGTCCTTGTTGAGAACCACATCTCCAGAGAATTCTAGGAATACATATTGTTTCAAGTATTTTATTTATTATTTTTATCTTATGTGTCTGAGTGTATTGCCTGCATGTATGTGAGTGCACCCATGTTTTGCAATGCCTGTGAAGATCAGAAGTGGGTGTCAGATCCCCTGGAACTGGAGTTAAGAACAATTGTTAACTGCCATGTGGGTTCTCTGCAAGAGCAACCAGTGCTCTTAACCACTGAGCCAACTCTCCAGCCCTGGAATACATATTTTTGTTGTATTACACTTTGGAAAAACAATCTGACAATCAGCTTGGTTGGTAAACTGCCGTGCTCCGTGAACTCAGAGTAGCAAGAGGTAGCAATGTTATTACCTTCACGGCTGTCTCCCCACAGCTTAGTAATTTACAGTTCTGAGCAGCATGGAGGCAGGAGGGTGGGAAATGCTCACCTACTTGCCAGGATCCCTGAGGGTTCCTCAGCTCCCACATCCTACCCCAGAGGGCATCTCTTCTCCTGACCCTGTCTCTGCTTCCTACAGGACAACTTGGTGGCTAGGCAGAAAGGGACTCCCACTTCTCCTCTTCCCCTCACAGAAATGTTTAGACAGATCAGGCAGAAGTCCCTACAGCATCATATAAAGATGGCATGGTGCTTCTGAGACCACTAAGAAGGGTGGTGGGGGCAACTGGTACAACAGCACAGGCCGATGGCCCTGCCAAGGTGCCCTTGCTGTGGTGGCCCATAATCAGAACTTCCTGCATGGAGCTTCAGACTTCTTCTCCTGGTGCTTTAGAAAATGGCCACCAACCAGGAGCATCTCCAGTGCCAGGGGCCTGATGCACAATGCAAAACCTCAGCCGTGAGTCAGAATCAAATGGAAACTATGCTGGGTGACTAAAAGCCTTCATGTTTGGCCCCTCTCTCAGACTGTGGGTCAGGTTCTCTGTTGGTGCCAGCTTCACTGGGTTGGACATCAGTTATTTTATAGGTGTGGAAACTGAGGCACAGGGAGATTAAGCTTACTTGCCTGTGGCCATGCTGCTAATGGATTTGGTAGGGCTGAGGATGGGTAGGCATGTCCCACTCTGGGATTCCTTGTTCTACAGTGGACTTTTCCATCAGAATCCACTGGTTTTATGTCTTCATGGACACAGAATACACATCAGTTTTCCTTTTAACATTCAGTTCTCTCGAGGTCCACACCTAGCACCTTTAGCTACCTTAACAGTTGCTACAATAAGTCCTTTTGTAAGCCTGTCTTTAGTGGCAGATTGAGAGCTGCTGGGGGATGCCCCTCAAACCCATGTTAATTTAACCATGAACAAGAATGACATTTGGGTTCTCCACTGTCCATGTGGAAAGAATGTGCGGAGCAGAAAGAAGGCTGCAGGAGAAACGCCCATTCTGTCCAAAAGAAGGGAAGGAAAGTGACCTGTGCCTTTGCATAGGGCGATCTCTGCCCTGTCGAACACCTTCAGCTTTTAGAGCAGCAGCCCAGGGCATCTTTGTGCTGATTCTTGGGAGCTGCTTCCCATAGGTCACTCCTGGAGGCAGCATCTGTATGCGAGTCCCAACATCCTGGGGACAGTGTGGTCTTGATAAAGCCTAGCTCTTTCTTTGCAATAAACAAAGATCAAGACTATCCTCTAACATCTAGACTCAAGAAACTGGAATCTGTTGGGAACAGGGAGATCTTGTTCTAAGAACTCTGAAGAAGAGAATGATAAATATAGAAGGGCGCCCTTGGGGCTGGAGAGATGCTCAGGGGTTAAGAGCTCTTATATCTTAAAGAAAACCCAATTTCAGTTCCTAGCACCCATGTCAGGTGACACACAGCTGTCTGTTACTCCAAATCTAAGGGATTCAATGCCCTGTTCTGGCCCCCTCAAGCACCTGCACCCACCTATGTGACCTGTACACGCACGCACACATGCACACACACACATACACATATCATACCACACCACATCACATCACATAAATAAATAAAAATAAATCTTTTTTTTTAAAAAGAAGTGTGCCCTTTTGGAAAACTAAGCCATGGTTAGACAACAGGAGGAAGAAGCTGTCTCATCAGTGAGGCTGATTGTAGGCCCTAGGAAACGATGACACGTAGGTGGACAGGGAACGTGTTAGGCAGCTGAAGTGGTAATACTAATCACATAATAATAGTAGTCGGCCAACATGTGCCAGTGGCCCATGCTAATGTGCCCATTAGGTTAGCATGGTTGGTGACATGCCCAAAGACACACAATAGTAGTCGGCCAACATGTGCCAGTGGCCCATGCTAATGTGCCCATTAGGTGACATGCCCAAAGACACACATGAGGGTTTGAACTCAGGTGGTCCAATTCTGTTATAAAGGAACTGCCTGATCCCTCCCCAGAGAAGAAGGCTCAGAGTTCATGGGGCCCAGGCAAAGGATGCCCAACACCATGCCTTTCTCAGGGGTTTCTGGCTTGTCAGCTTCAACCTAGAGGGATGTGATAGAAAGAGCTGGGGACTTGGAACCACTAGGTGTGGATGCAAGCCTTAGGGCTGTGTGGATTTCCTGTATGTCAGCTCCCTCTCTGAGCTCCACATCCTTATCTCTTCAGTGGGAATAATGACTGTCTAACTGAGTTACTGGGAGGCTTAGTGATGACGGACGTGTGATGCTCTGTGTACCATGTGCTCAGTGGTTATTAGCGTCCTTATTGCTGCTATTAATCCTCTGCCGAGCGTGCAGTGCATGGTCCACATTTAGTTCACAATAAGAACTAGACCAAAGCAAGCTCCCTAAGGGACAGGGCTGTATTTTATTTCTTTGTACAGTCCTGGATCAAGGGTCAGCACACTACAGCCCTGGGCCAGCGTCAGCCCAGTCTGCTCTTGTAAATGAAGTTTTGTTGTAAGTCAACCCTGCCATTTGTTACTGTTTTGCCTATGGCTGTGTTCAGGCTGCAGAACTGAGGCATTTCAAAGCTGTACATATTAACTGTCTGGCTCTCTGCTGAAAATTTTTTGAAATAGTGTGAAACTTACAGATAATGAGTGCTTCATAATTCATTCTTTGTGTGTGTGTGTGTGTGTATGTTTGCATGTAGAGGCCAGAGACCTGCCTCAGGTGTTGTTTCTCAAGATGTCATCTGTTGTAAAACACCATCCCTTTAGACAAAACAGCCACCATCTCCATGACAAGGAGGCCTTTGGGCTGTGGACCTTCCCTCACAGCAGGAGGACTTGGGAAGACCCTTGGACCCTGACCTGTGCATCCACACTCTCCTCCCTGCCATTTGTATGTGATTTGTGAGTCTTCCCTAATTGCAGGTGGCCTCGGGGCTCTTGGGGAGGGGCTGGAGTATATAGGTTGGGGGAGGCTACCTGAAAGGGCCTCCATCTCTGCAGCTCTGGGGAGCCATCCTCCATGCTGGGTTGTAGACCTGCCAGTGTTGCTGTGTTAGGATCACCCACACTCCTCACAATGCTTTCTAAGTCCAACAAACCCATTGGCTCCCCCAGGTAAACGGTGGAATCAAACTTCGGCTTGTCTCTGAGACCTCATGGGGAGGGGTAGACATTGTTTAAGTCATTCCAGAGGAGGAAATTTCACAACCTGTCCATTTTGTCTTATGAAGCAACATCTCTCCCTAAATTCAAAACTCTGGGTTCAGACAGGCTAGACTGCCAGCAAGCCCCCAAAACCCACCGTCTCCATCTCCCCAGCCCTGGGATTGCAAGTGTACATCCTCATGCCCAGGTGTTTTACATTGGTTCTGGGGATTGAACTCAGGCTCTCATGCTTACATGATAGGCACTTTGCTGACTGAGCCATCTCCTACTCCTAATATTTCATTTAACTCTGAACTCTAAGTCTTAATCCTGACTGGGCCACTGATTTGCTGTGTGTTAGTGGATAAATCCCTTTCCCTCTCTGGGCCTGCTTCCTTGAGTGTTCATTTGTATAGTAAATGTCATTACATACATTTCTAAACTTCACCCCCAGAGGTATTGACTGAGTAGTAGGATTCAAAAATGACTTTTGAAGCTCCATTTTAATTTTTAAAAAATTTTTATGTGTCTGAGTGTATTGCCTGCAAAATTGTAAATGCACCCGTGTCGTGCAGTGCTCACAGAGGTCAGAAGAGGGTGTTGGATCCCCTGGAACTTGAGTTATGGACGGTTGCTAGCTGCCATGTGGGTGCTGGGAATAGAACCGGGTCCTCTGTCAGAGCAGCCAGTGCTCTTAACCATCGAGCCATCTCTCCAACCCCAAAACTCATTTTTAAAATTTCTAATGTGGAGCAGACTTAGGTGCCATTTACAGTGTCCTTAGTCTTTAGCAAACAAACGAATTGCTGCTGGGTTCCTGGCTGATGACCTAGATGTAGAGGTCCCAACAATCAGATCCAGCCACTCCCCCCAAAAGACCAGATTAAAAAGAGGTGCTGCAAACAAGAGAGGAATGCATCATTCTCTGCGTGGCCTTATTACACAGAGCAGAGGAAGCTCCCTCACTGCAGCTGAGAACTCATGGGGCCCATCATCTGTCCTTGAGGTGTCCACAGTAATTTGAGGTGTATGGAGAAGGGAAAGGGGCAAGGACTGGGGGTTTGCATAGCTGGAGTTCTTGCTCAGGCCACAGTCCAGGGGACCATTACCCTGGGACTGGTCCTGTAGGCTTCTGACACTGAGGAAATTATTGCTGGTTGGGGGAAGTTTTGATTTTCTTTGTAAGATGATTAATAGCAGACCTGTGATCCTGGAATTCAAGATAACCTGAAGGAAGGCATAATTTGAGGGGAAAAAGAAGAAAGGGTCATGGAGAGACAAACGGAGTAACTTATATCAGTGATTGGGTTCTTCTTGGGGTCACCTGGAAAGCCTGTTAAGTATGGAGTATCCCTGCCCCCGGCTGATCCATGGTGAGCTCCTGGAGAGTCTGAAAAGCTATTGGGAGGGAGTGTCACTAGTAAGTGACAGCTGTGACATGGGGGAGGCATGTGTGGTGGGGATTGTGGCAGGCAGAAGAGCCCACGTCTTGTCTAAAGTTGCTGTTGAATCTTAACCCACTGTTTCCACATCAAACCTGGATTTCCCACTATAGTTACTGTTTAAAGGGAAGCCAGAATTCTTTCCATGAATCTTCCACCTTTTTTTTTTGAGACAGGGTCTACATGAAGCCCCAGCTGAGCTGGAGCTCACTATGTAGACAAGGCTAGCCTCAGTCTCACAGAGATCCATGTGCTTCTGCCTCTGAGGTGCTGGGATTAAAGGTGTGAGCCACCACACCCTGCCCAATCTTCCCCTTTTTAAATATTGCCAGTAAATTCGATTCTCCCAGTCAACTAAGATACATCTGCCCTAGGTTGCTGGTTTGTGACCTTCATTAAGTAACTTCAGAGATCCATCCTAATGAATCAGTTTGCTTCATGGTTATTTAAACATTGATTTCTAAGTGCCTGCTCTGGTTTTGCTGCCTTACAAATAATATTAACGACCTCACACCCATTTTACAGATGAGAAAGTTGGAAACAAATCAGTATCAGGGACCCAGGCAGGCTAGCTGCAGCACCTTGCTTCTCCCTGCAGGATGCAGGCTGGGGATTGTCCTGTCCCTTGCTGATGCAACTTTATTTTAATCTCCTGAGAACAGCAGACAGCCCGGCCCACCTTCTTCGCCCGCAAATTTGAAGCCGTGGTGAACCAGGAAATCATTGGGCAGCTGGATTACTACCTGTATGGGAACTACCCAGCGGGTACTCCAGGCCTGCGCTCCTACTGGGAGAATGTCTATGATGAGCCTGACGGCATCCACAGCCTCAGCGATGTGGTGCTCACCCTGTACCACTCCTTCACCCGCCTGGGACTGCGCCGGGCTGAGTCCTCACTGCACACCGAAGGGGAGAACAGCTGCAGGTGAGCCGGGCACTGTGCTGGGTCCTGGGGCAGGAGGGCAAGGTGCCACCCACTTCACCCCCTTTGTCCCACATCACCATGACAGTCTATCCACTCTGTGCTGGTGTCTTCCTTTCTGTCTGATGGTTTACTTTCTCTGAAGACCAGCTGTAATACTAAGTCTAATCATGTTCTTCCAGATGTTCATTTTTCATGCTACCTAATTATACCTCCCTCCTCCCTCCCTCCCTCCATCCCTCCCTCCCTCCCTCCTTTCTTCCCTTCCTTGTCACCCTCCCTCCTTCCTCCCTTCTTTTTGTTGGGTCTTCTTCCTTACTTTTTTGTTGAAACAGTGTCTCACTGGGTCCCCAAGGCTGACCTTGAACTCATAGTGATTCTCTGGCCTCAGGTGTCCAGTGTGCTGAGATTACAGATAGCACCATTGTATCTGAAGTACTTAGACTTTAGAAGAAAGAGTTAAAAGGAAAATAAGTGTTTCACTGTAAATATTTTTGTATTTTCATGGTGAAAATCTCAAACATACACAAACGCTAGGGTAGTTCCAGTTCCCATAGCCAGCCCAGCAGTGAACTCCCAGCAGACCTCCTGCTAGTGTCACCTTTAGCTCCTTCCTGCCTCCTCCTGGATCCATTTAAAGCCAATCCTGGCTGTCCTGTCATTTCACCCATAAAGATTTTAATGTGTATCTCTGAAAATTAAGGACTCCCTTTTTAAAATACAGCTGTAATAACATCATTATCACACCTAGAAATACAACCCAATCAATCGTGCAAAGGCAGAGCTCTGACTAAAGAATCTCAGCCATAATTCATGACAATGTGCCTCCCACTGGTGGGTATCAGTTGATACCTAAGGAAAGAATGTTCTCAAATGCATGGGAGAAAGAGGGATGTGGAGAAATAATTCAACCTAATCTGCTCCCTCCCTTTCTCCAGCCAGCACTTTTTTTCTTCTTCTCTTCTCTTCTCTCCATAGTGTCATGCATGGTAAATATTCTTGCAATTGCAACAAGAACTCAGAATCCACTTTCTCTCCCTTGGTGTTACACGGTCGCCTCCTCTGTGCCGTCATTCTCTGCTTCCCACACTATGACCCTTTCTAATGCTGCTAGATTCCATCAAGGGACAATGCCAGAGTTCTCTTAATCCAGCCCCATCCCTCTGCTCCCATCAGTGTAGTGTTCTAATGAACAAGGTTTGTGCAGAAACCTGTCTGTCATTCCCTTCTCTGATTATTTCCTTGGGCTAGATACGCAGAAATTGCCTCTCATCTCCCTCCTTCCTCTTCTGCTCCTCTCCTCCTCCTCCTGCCCCCTTTTTCAAGCAACATAACAAAACCAAATTGTCTGTGCCTCATCATTTGCAGCCACACCTTCCCTTGCAGACCCCTCTCTGCCCAACTCTTCTCTTCATTTAGGGAGCTATTTCATTCTGAAAACACAGGGCTACATACATACAGGGATAGCACACAGGGATAGCAAGGCCAATGTCCCACCTTCTCTCCCTGCTGGTTTGGTTAATTCAAAGAGAGTCTGGAGTCCGTTAAGAAGCTAAGACCTCCACTTTGACTTCAACTCTGCTTACTAGCTATTGACCTCGGACAAGTTGTGGACTTCTCTGACCCTCAGTGTCCTCGTCTATAAAACGAAAAGAAAGTGCTAAAAACCTATCTCATAGGCATGTAGTTTTATCTTCCGTGTGTTAATGGTACTTTACACACTCAGTAGTGTTCACTCAATGAAATGCTGGTGTCCTAGTGGCCGTTATCTGTCAGTGAACTCCCTAGGTAAGAAGCATCCAGTTAGCCAGGCCGTTCATTGCTCTCTTGATGTGACTTTCTTTACTCACTGTTCCCACTATCACTGATAGCTTACCTTTCCCCAGGCATTAAGGCCATCAGGTGCTACTCTATCTGAAGCATGCATGTGTGTGTACATGTTCATATATGTATGCAGGAACATGTGTATGCCCATGTGTGTAGCAGTCAGAGGTCAGTGTCAAATGCCTTCTGTTGCTCTCCACCTTATTTTTTGAGATGGTATCTCTTTCTGAGCCTGGAGTGCAGTGATTTGTAAGTCTAGCTGGCCAGCATGCTCCATGGATCCTCCGGTCCCCACCTCCTCCAGCACTGGGATTACAGAGACACCCTACCACATCTGACTTTTTATGTGGGTGCTGGGGATTTGAACTCAGGTCTTTGTGGTTGCATGGCAAGGATTTTACCAAGCGAGTGCTCTCTCCAGCCCCTTCGGGGGTTGGAGCACTCCTGACAAGCCACTCCCAATCTCTCCCAACCCAAAAGGATATCACCGCCAATAGGCACATTGCACAAGACTTCACTACCTTGTGTCAAAGTCAACAGGTACCTTTTCCCTCTGGCCAGTCTATGGGAAGAATGCAAGCCTTGGGACCACAGATTGTCTACCAAGTATTCAGTGCCATGCCCAACACTTGGAAGGCAACTGTCCTCCAAGAGCAGATTTAATTTCGAGCTTCCTAGAACGTATAAGATAAACAATCTTATAGGAAATTCCAAAAGACACTCCCGATTTATTCAGGGTTGTTGAAACTTTCTCCTGGTACTTGTTTTAGAATGAAGCAGACCATCTTGTTGCCTCAAGCCTGAAATCCTTTGGGCTTTTTTTCCTCATTTTTTATTGTGATGAACCTGTTGTGCCTCACCACAGGCAAAGCCTTGTATTTATGAAGAGGAGGCTGGAAATAAATCAGGACAAAGGACCTTTATCCCAAAAAGGCAAAGGAGAATGAATTGCTACCCTTGGGGTGTCTGGGGAAACAGCAAGTGAATTTCATCTGAACGGGGCATTTCATACACATCGGGCACTTCCAGGCTGTGGTATAACCTTTCATAAAAATAATGCTTATTGATTCTTTTTCTCATTATAAAGTAACGCATGTGTTTTGCTCAAATGTTTGCTATGGCAGATTTAAACATAAGAGAACAAGAAAATAAAGCTTACTTACGATCCACCATGCAGGGATAAGGATGCCAATATGTTATTTTAAAAAAACCTCAACTCAAATGCCAGCAATCAGCATTGCAAGTCACCGTGAGCCCTGCAGGGGGCGCTGTGCACACCAACCTACACCACCTGTGCTCCATGCATGTGTGAGTCAGAATGAGCCCTGCAGGGGGTGCTGTACACACAAACCTACACCATCTGTCTGATTCATTTGGTCGGAATGTCCGCTTGGAGCCACCAATCAAATCTGATTTTTTAAAAACTTTTTTATTGAATTTTGCAAATTTCATGCAATACATTTTTATCATATTTAGACCCCCTCCCCTATCTGTGCCCCTCTTACTACTCCCAACCAATTTCATGTACTCTAATATATAGATACATTATATATATTATATATAATATGAATTATATATTATATACATATGTATGCCTATTTGTGTCCTCAAATGCCCTTCATTGTGAGTTCATCCAGTGGAGCCTGGTCAACCTATCAAGAGTCTTGCCCTTAAAAGAGACTGACTCTCCCCCTCTCAGCAGACATGTGTTGCCAGTAGTTCCTCAGGTTGGGTTGGGGTTTCTCACCCACTTCCCACATCTGTGTTGGGATTTTGTCCGGCTTGAACTTACATGGGACTTGTGCATGCTGTCACCATTACTGTGAGTTCATCTGCGTAACTGCCCAGCCATCTAGAAAACTCTGCTTCCTTGTGGCTGTCCACCACCTCCGGCTCTTACAGTCTTTCCGCCCTCTCTTCTGCAATGATCCCTGAACCCTGAGAGGCAGAAATTTAATATAGGTATCCTATTACAAGTCTCCTGATTTTTTAAGACAATCAGAAATCCAGAACTTTATGTGAATCTAACTTTTCCAAAGCTCACATTATTTAAATAAAGGAATGGAATAATCACACCTTGGGCCAAACAAATGCACCTGTGGTAGCCTGTAACTTATTGTATTGCACCTTAGTTATGTCCCATCTCTTAGTAAGATCACTGTTATCATTACTTAAGTATAAAATACAGGACGATAAGGTGCCAGAAGGCTTTGTGTTTTATCTTGGACCACATGGTCCTCCAACATACCTAAGAAGGAAAGTTCCAGAGAAATCCTAGGTTATCACTTACTCAACAAGCATTGATTAAATACTTATTGTGTGTCAGGCTGTATGTTGGATAATGAACATTCACCTGTGACCCAGATAGACCTGGACCTTCACTTTCTAGTGTAATGGACTCACTGTTCCTATCACAAAAAAATCCTAGAAGAAAATATCAGTAAGAACAGATGCTAAGCTTAGGTGCAAAGTCAAGCTGTGAGATAAGGACTGGAGAGTCTGACCGAAGGACAGTTCTCACTGAGCATGAAGGCAGGGCCCAGCCAGACTTACACAAAAGAAGAGCATCTCAAGCACCGACTATCCTGTGCAAAGGTCCTGAGGCTGAAATGAGCTTAATAAACCCAAGAGCTCAAGTAAGGGGCCTGTGACTGGAAGGTGTTGAACCGGGGCTGAGGGAAACAAAATAGAGAAAGAGGCAGAGCTTTGCAGCCCACGTAAGAAGTGTGGATTTGACTACAAGCATTAAAGCACATGCTTACAGCATTAAAGGAGAAAGCCATCAACAAGACTTCTGTGAGAATAGGCTATGATGGGTGAAAGGAAGAAGACAAGCCAGGAGGTTCAGCAGAGCTCTGGGAAGGCAGTGTGGAGACTTGGACTAGGCTCTAGCAGTGATCAGGGAAGTAGAGGGTGGATTCAGACAACCACAACTTGTGCTGGAGAAGGGGCTGGGGACGTGGTTCGATTGGGAAAGTACTTGCCTCACGGCCATGAAGACCTGAGTTTGGATCCCCAGAACCAACGTAAAAAGCCAGGTGCAGTGGGTACCTGCCTAGAATCCCAGAGGTGGTGAGAAGGGACTGGGGGACAGATGGATCCTTGGAAGCTCACGGGCCTGTGAGCACAGCCTACATGGCAAGGTTCCATGCCACTGAGAACCCTGACTCTGACTGAAGGTGGAAGGTGCCTAAGGACAGACACCCAAGACTGTTCTCTGACCTCCACATGCACAGACTCACCCCCAAATGCATGCACACACACACACACACACACACACACACACACACACACAAGAAAGTCAAACTCTTAGATTTTTTTCCTAGACGTGACCTTTGCTTAAAGTCTTCTTGACCTTCAGGAGACCCTCAGTAGGCCTGTTCGTTCTTTCTGGAAATACTTTCTTCTTTGACTCCCAGGCAGCAAGCTTGTCTCTACCTGTGCCTGGTAACAAACAGCTCCCAGATCAGTGCTGTGAAGTGATAAGTACTTCCTTAGCGCTCAAGTTTGTGGATCAGCTAGGCCACTTTCCTCTTGGCCTGAGCTGGACTCGCTCCTGCATCTGCAAGTCAGGGTGGCTCTGTGGCTCTTGGCTGGGAATCATTGACTGAATTATGGTGGCACAGGCTAGGACAGTTGTGGTGGCTCTGTTCTGTGACCAGCCACTCATCCTCCAGCAGGCTAGCCCAACATGCTGTCATGGTGACCCCAAGAAGGCAGGAAGGCAGGTGGGCATGTGCACAGTTCCTGAGGCCTGGCTTATATGCTATTGGCCAAAGAAGATTCAGGAAAAGGGAAATAGACTCCTCCTTATTGGTGTACGGAACAGGGAAGGCACAAGGCCTTGGGTGTATCCATGCAGGTGACCACAGGCTTCCAGACTATATCACAGGCATCCAAATGTCATACATGGCTATTTAAAATTAACTAAAATTAAACCAAATACAGTGACACATACCTGTGATCCCAACATTTGAAAGGTAGCGACAGGAGAATCAGAAGTTCAAGGCCCCTACCCTCAACTACATAACAAGTTTGAAGACAGCTTAGGATGCATGAAACCCTGTCTCGGAAAAGAAAGTTAACCAGGTATGGTGGTGCACACCTTTAATCCAAGCACCAGACAGACAGACACACACACACACACACACACACACACACACACACAAGAAAGTCAAACTCTTAGGTTTTTTCCTAGACGTGACCTTTGCTTGTCTTCTTGACCTTCAGGAGACCCTCAGTAGGCCTGTTCGTTCTTTCTGGAAATACTTTCTTCTTTGACTCCCAGGCAGCAAGCTTGTCTCTACCTGTGCCTGGTAACAAACAGCTCCCAGATCAGTGCTGTGAAGTGATAAGTACTTCCTTAGCGCTCAAGTTTGTGGATCAGCTAGGCCACTTTCCTCTTGGCCTGAGCTGGACTCGCTCCTGCATCTGCAAGTCAGGGTGGCTCTGTGGCTCTTGGCTGGGAATCATTGACTGAATTATGGTGGCACAGGCTAGGACAGTTGTGGTGGCTCTGTTCTGTGACCAGCCACTCATCCTCCAGCAGGCTAGCCCAACATGCTGTCATGGTGACCCCAAGAAGGCAGGAAGGCAGGTGGGCATGTGCACAGTTCCTGAGGCCTGGCTTATATGCTATTGGCCAAAGAAGATTCAGGAAAAGGGAAATAGACTCCTCCTTATTGGTGTACGGAACAGGGAAGGCACAAGGCCTTGGGTGTATCCATGCAGGTGACCACAGGCTTCCAGACTATATCACAGGCATCCAAATGTCATACATGGCTATTTAAAATTAACTAAAATTAAACCAAATACAGTGACACATACCTGTGATCCCAACATTTGAAAGGTAGCGACAGGAGAATCAGAAGTTCAAGGCCCCTACCCTCAACTACATAACAAGTTTGAAGACAGCTTAGGATGCATGAAACCCTGTCTTGGAAAAGAAAGTTAACCAGGTATGGTGGTGCACACCTTTAATCCAAGCACCAGACAGACAGACAGACACACACACACACACACACACACACACACACAGAGTGCACTCACACACACAATGAATGTGTACCTATACCACATAATAAATGAGTAAATAAATTATAATGAGTCAGCTAAAATTAAAATACAGTTCCTTAGTTGGACTAGCCGCATCTCAAGTGCTCAGCCGTCACTCCCCTGCCATGTTGGACAACACAGATGCAACACTTCTGTCACCTCAGAAAGCGCTGTCAGATGCCAAGACTTGGCCACAACAGCAGCGTCAGCAGAGTCCCAGCTTTCCATCCCAATGACCACATCCAAAGCGTACAGTGCCAGCAAGTGTCAGGAAGACCCGGCAGCCAGAAGACCAGGCAGGCTTTTTCTCCAGAGCCCCCAGCGGCAGCCAGTAACAAGGCAGCGATTTCAGGAGATGCGTCAACACAGGAAGGCAGCTTCCCCAGCCGTTATAATTGGACATAAAGACTTAAAACTCAAGATTGGAAGCAGAGGGAAGCCTGCCTTTAGCAGAGAGGGGACAGTGATTTGTGGAACACTGTTATTACGGAGCCACGGCAGCCTCTTAGTGCTGTGCAATTTACACATTGCAGAAGCAACAGCCTCCCGTTTTACAAGTAGAGAGCTGTTGGTCTCCATGGCTTCCTCTCCCTTTTGCTCTCCACTCCCCACTTCTTCCTCTTTCTGTGCCCAGCTTTTCAGCCCTTTCCAGCCAGCAAGGCTGTGCATACCAAAAATGTGCACTCTAAAACAAGCTTTCTGAGGAAGGCTGGGTGTGTTTGCATTGTGTAGCTCAGGATGGCAGTAATTTTTGAAGAAGAAAAACAGTGTGGGTGTTTAAACACCCACTTAAAGAAGAGAACAGCGAGAAGATAAATGAGTGTTTCTGACAAACTTAGGCATTAGAGCCCCTTAGAGATCAAAGAGAGAGAGAGAGAGAGAGAGAGAGAGAGAGAGAGAGAGATTCCAAAAGGATAACAGAAATGTTACAAGCCATTTACTACTAGTGACCATTTGTTCTATAAACTACATACCACAGGCACAATGGCATGTTTCCCACATACACCCCCCCCCCGCCAATCCACAGGAAAGCCTATGGAGCAAAAGCATATTATATACGTTAGGATCCCAAATACATAATATCCATGGGGCTGGAGAGATGGCTCAGTCTGTAAAGTACTCTCCTCGCAAGCATGAGTACCTGAGTTAGATCCCCCAGAACCCAAGTAAGAAAGCCATGTGTTGTGACATGAGCTTGTAATCCCAGCACTAGGGTAGCGGGATAGACAGGTCCCTGGGGGGACCAACTCATCTGGTCTGTTTGGCAGGTTCCCAGCCAATGACAGGTAGAACCTGTCTCTAAAAACAGTGTGGATGGCATCTAAGGAACAATATACAAGGATGACTTTTGGCATACACACACACACACACACACACACACAGACACACACACACAATCAAGGGTGACATTTAGCATACACACACACACGATCAAGGATGACTTTTAGCACACACACACACACACACATACACAATTAAGGATGACATTTAATGTACACACACACAGTCAAGGATGACTTTTAGCATACACACACACACAATTAAGGATGACATTTAGTGTACACACACACACACACACAGTCAAGGATGACTTTTAGCATACACACACACACGCATGCATGTGCTCACCTGTGCACATGCAAATACACAAATTAGTCTCATCGATATATAACATTTTTGCAAGTGCAAGCATGGGAAATGAGGCTACAGGAGAGTGCACCATAGAAGTGTCCACGCACCATTTCACTCCCTGGTCCCTAGCACTAGAGAACTCAACAGATATCCAAATTGATGTTATTTATGGGAAGAAGCATCAAAAGCAGTAATTTTCCTTTCTTTATCATACTTTCGTATAGTCAGCATGTTTTACATTTATCACTCAGTAAAAACAAAGTTATTTGCAGTGCCTTAACCCATAGATAGACAGCAGCTTTCATACTGAAGCAGATTCTAGAAAGCAGTGGATGAATTTGGAACTATTTTAGGAACAGGACCACCACAGTGTGTGGGGAGCCCCACTGTGGTGCTGTGTGCCTCAGAAACTGATCCTTGGGCTCCTGTGCTTTCAGGTACTACCCAATGGGCCACCCAGCATCTGTCCACCTCTACTTCCTCGCTGACCGCTTCCAGGGCTTTCTGATCAAGCATCATGTGACCAACCTTGCTGTGAGCAAACTCGAGACCCTGGAGACGTGGGTGATGCCGAAGAAAGTCTTCAAGATTGCAAGTCCCCCCAGCGACTTTGGGAGACTTCAGTTTTCTGAGGTAAGAGGCCAAACACTGTAAGTCTTCATCATCTCTTGTAGCTCTTTTGCCAGGCTCTGTACCTCAGCTGACACCTTAACTTGGAGATGGAGGAAGGGACCCCTAAAATGAGCTCAGTCTGTGCCTGGAGAAAATTCCCCAGCCCCGAATACTGGAACCAGCATCTTAAACAGGGTAGAAGGAGGGGAGAGTACGTCAACATCTGTAGACAGAAGCAGCCTAAAAGCCCTGGGTTTATTTTTTTACCATAAAATTTCTTCTCTTAATTTTTTATCCTAGTTAATAACTCCTAATCCTGTTTAGTAGTAAGCCTGTAACAAACCAGTTTCCTAGTCAAGTAGTGACATTAGTATCATTTTATGGACTGAAGAAGTGAGGTTTATGGAGATACAATGGTTTTCTGAATAATTGCTAGGACATGGAAGAACACAAAATTGGTCCTACATTTCACTGGTTAAAAAGCCCATTCTTCATTTTTGCTGCTGCTTCTATTCTTTTATTGCTAGCACAGGGGCTAACTCCTTGACTCTGGAGTAGATGGATTGGTGGTCAGGTAGATGGATGGGTGGACGCATTAGATTGGTGACTAGATTGAAAGTCAGACAAACAGGTGAGTGGAGGATGGATGGGTGAGTGGGTAGTAGATTAACAGAGGCATATACGGATGGATAATGGATAGATGGAAAATGAGTGAAGAGATGAACAAACGGATGGATGGATGGATGTGTAGGCAGAGGGATGACTAGATAGTGGATGAGTGGATGTATGAGAGTATGGATGGACAGGTGGATAGACAGATGCATGGATGGATGGACGGATGGATAGATAAATAGATAAATAGTATGGACATATGGACACATAGGTAGGTAGATTGACAGGTAGACAGAAGGATGGATGGATAATGGATACAATAGATGGGTGGAAGGACAAACAGAGAGGTCACAAGATAGACAGGTAGGCTGATGAGCAGATGCATGGAATGCTCATTCCTCCTAACCACAATAGCACATCAGTTTTCATAGATGTTTTTAGCTTGGGAGGTAGTCACCAGTGCTGTCCTGTCACGTCATCCCTGCCTCCAGGCCCAGAAGGCTCACATGATCTGGCCTCTGTTGGCCTCTCCAGCCTTGTCCAGTACCACTCTCCTCCCTACCTCATATTTCTTGTGTCTTTGTCTTGCCTTAGCATGCCGTGTGCTGATCTTTTACCTAGAACGCTTTCCCACTGGATGTCCGATAGCTTGAATTCTGTTATTTTTTTAATCATTCTGATCTAAATCGGAGACACCACCCCTGATCCAGCTCGTGTCACAATAGCAACATTATCCACCTGCCCCTTCCTTAACTGTCTCTTAGAATGCACCATCTAATGCCATCTTGCTGGCTTATCTGACCGTTTCTTGACTGTCCGTGTGCAAGCTGCACCTCTGTTTCTCACTCACTGTTGCGTCCCCTGCACACATCTTTTACAGAAGAATCCTGATATTTCTGGGTGCTGAATAATTTTTCATGAATGAGTGAATGCATGTGGGAGGGATACTGGAAGGATGAGGAAGTATGATTGAACTTGAGCATCATGACCCACGCAGAGCTCTAACGTTTGACTTCCGCCTTGCATCAATAAGTAGCTAGTAGATAATCCATCTCAATGAGTTTGGGTGCTAGGTTAAAGATGAAGAGTGATGTTTCAAATATGCAGGAACTTGAGGAGCTTGAGTATGAAGGGAAAGAAGGACCCCATGCTTATACTTTCCTTGCTGTTCCTTCTCCAGACCCATGTGGGTCTGTCTTGCTGATCTGCCCCCAATGAAAGGCTCCCTGTGTCAAAAAAGCATGGCTGAAAGTTTTGTGTTCTGCTAGCTTTTCCAAAGAAGGTTCCATAGGGATTGACTGGATCTGAGCTGCTATAGCCAGCTTCATAAATTACTTGAGTCAGTAGGGCAATTAGATGCTGCCCCAGTTGGACTCTGTGCTGGGGTCCCAAGCAGCCCACTGAAGACATTAATGTCCCATTAAGGAGATGGATGCCTAGTCCCTAGGCTCTCTCTGTTTGTCAGCCTGCTGTTGGGTGCCTGGGTACCTCTGGCAGTGACAAGCAATGTTGGCCACTCCATGGCTAGTGATTTATGAGAGTTCCCACTATGGGTCCTGTAGCCTTGGTGAAACAACTACCAAGATCAATGGCAGAAATGTTGGCATGGGAGCCAGACTGTCCTAACCTTGTACGTAGAACATTTTCTGGTCTTGCATATTTTAATTGCAAAGGTATAGAGTTGACCAAGAAGGAAGGGAGAAGTGTAGGACCACTTTGTGAACCGTGGAGGGTTCCCCTGGTTTTAGCACCATCCTAAAGCCTTATGTAGGACCTGGTTTGTGGCAAGGTGGCCAGCTCAGATTTCTCCAGCAATGAGCATCCACTGAAGAAAAATGCTCTTTTTGTCTGCATGCCATCACCAAGGGCCTGCAGTGTGCTAGATTCTTAAGAGATAACAGTGAACCAAGCAATGTCCTGTTGTGATGGAACTGAAGTCTACTAGGGCTGCCAGACAAAGAGTGAGCAAAGAAATTAGCAAAATATTTCAGGTAACAACAAATATTGCAGAAAAAAGAAACTTTATGTGATTACTGAAGGCTTAGGAAGCTGGTGGGGGTTGTCTCTGATAGGATGACTCATTCTGAAAGCTTTTGCAAAGGATCAGTTTAGAGATGAAGCCTATGAAAGACGTATATCATCCATTGAAAGATCTAGAACATTCTAAGAACGGAGCGTGAGACTCTGGCCAAGAGCTAGGCATGCTAAAGGAGCAGCAAGGTCAATGTGGCTGGAACATGGTGAGTGGGATGGAGAATGGCAGAGGTCAGGTCCCAAGAAGCCAGGGATCTTGCTCAGATTGTCTTTTGAGTACGGGGGGAACCTTTGTGTAGACTGGGAGCTGGGAAGCTGTATGTTAGGCTTGAACTAGAACACAAATTTGAACTTGTGTAATAGACCATTCGGCAATCAGTGGTTGCAGACTTCTACACTGAGACCCAGTGGAAGATCACAGACGTTCTAGGAGATGGGACCTCCCTCCTCCCCTCACACTTGGGGTGGAAGCAATTGACTCTCTTCCTGCCCCTCAGTTTAGGAACAAGACCCTAGTTTGTGCCATGCCAGATTCTCACACTCTCTTGCCCTAGGGACCAAGTTTGAGAACTCAGATTTCAGGGGAACTTTCCATCTGCATTCCTTTGGAGAATCCAGAGACAATGTTCTAGAGAGTACCCCCACTGGTCTCAGATTCTTTTCACAAGCATAACCTCAGCATAGGTCTGTGACCATTCTTCTTTTTGTTAGTAATATTAGAAGGTCAAGTGTCAAGAATGTGGGTGTGTGAAGAAGTCCATGTGCTCAACCCTGAGCATTCAGTATATATTCAAGTTCAAGGTAGGTAAGTAGCTAGATAGACCAGTAAATGACAGAGTGGTACACAGATATGTAGAAATGATGGAGATTGGTTGATGAACTGATGATAGATATACGAGAGATTCATAGATGGGAAATATACATTGTGAGATAAATAGGTAATAGGTATTACATACATTCAGATAGATGATAGAGGATAGAGGGAAAAGATAGATAGATAGAAGAAGATAGATAGATAGACAGATAGATAGATAATAGATAGATAGATGATAGATACATAGATACATAGAGAGATAGATAGATGATAGATATATAGATAGATAGATTGATGATAGATAGATAGATAGATAGATAGATAGATAGATAGATAGATAGATAGATAGACAGATACATAGAGAGATAGATACATAGATACATAGATACATAGAGGATGATTTATTATTGATAGACTTTATGGACTCCCACAGAAAGTTATTGACCTTGGAACCTCGGTTTCCCCATCTGTACAATAAGAATGCAATAAAGTTAGGGCATGTCCATCTCTGGCATGCTGGAAGGATGGATGCTTGTCTCTGGTGCCCAGGGGAGAATGCTTTTAGAAGTCAATGCTAGCTCCTTGAGCTACTGCAAGGATGGTGTTCCTGTTTCTAAGCTTCTTGTGGGTTTCTCCAAAGATAGAACACTGACCTTGTTCAGAACAGGTACATCAAGGTATTCAATTTGGAAAAGCAAAGGCCCAAGCAAAAATCAACTGTGCCTGAGTGGCAGGTTATATTTCTTGGAATGACCTGCAAGCTGTTCATTTATGCACATGCAGTATACTGTTTTCATGTGTCAAACACATAGCATGTCTTGGGCACAGGACGTTTGGTGGTTTAGTGAAGGGTCCTAGGCCTTGGGATCCCGCAGACTGGGCACAGGTCTCTGGTATTCTGCCAACCAGTTGTGCAACTTCGAGTAACAGATAACTTTGAGTCCTAGTCTCTTCATCAGTGAAATGGGCATATGCAACCCTCCAGACAGGTTTCTAGGACTTTCTGGCACTCTGCACCCTCATTCGGTATAGGTGTTTTCAGGATTTATTCTCTTGTTTCAGGTTGGCACTGACTGGGATGCAAAGGAACGGCTGTTCCGCAACTTCGGGGGTCTCCTGGGGCCTATGGATGAGCCTGTGGGAATGCAGAAATGGGGGAAGGGACCCAACGTCACTGTGACTGTCATCTGGGTAGATCCTGTTAATGTCATCGCAGCCACCTATGACATCCTGATCGAGTCCACTGCAGAGTTTACACACTACAAACCCCCTCTGAACCTGCCTCTGAGGCCTGGGGTCTGGACAGTAAAAATTCTCCACCACTGGGTGTTGGTTGCAGAGACCAAATTCCTTGTTGCACCTCTGACCTTCTCCAACAGGCAGCCCATCAAGCCGGGTGAGTACTCTTCATGACTTTGCCCGGAGAGAGTCTATCTCCACCAACCCTGGTGGGGGGGGGGTCCTGTGCCCAACATGTCCCATGGCTGCCTTGCAAAGCAAAGCTTCCTCACTTTGGTATATATTCCTATTTGTCCACCATAGAGAACTGGCTTATTCATTTCCTACCTTCACACAGACATCATGCCATCCATGTGGCTCTTAGAAACCTATTCATTAGCTACTCTCCCACTGGGCTTCCAAAAGGTCTTGTTCAATCTAAGATAGGTGGGAAATAATCCCAGGCAGATACTGAGTTTTACAATGCCTTCTTTGCTGTTTAAAAACAATACTCATCATTGAAATTCTGTTCACCAGAAACGTGATAGGATACCCTAAGTAGAAAATAGAAACCACTGGTGGTGCTTTCAAAAAAGTACTCATTCAGAAATATACCAAAAAAGTCACATGGATCAGAGTTTGGCAAACTATAGGCCCCAGGTGAAACATGGTCTGCTTCTGGTCTTTATAAACGAAGTGTTCTTGGAACACAGCTCTGCCCATTGATTGACAAGGTGTCTCTTCTGCTTTGAGCCTCAGTGGCAGACTTGAACAGTTGAGACAGAATCTACATGCCTCACAAACTCAAAAACATTTATTCTCTGGAAAAAATGGTAGCCACTGTCCGCTATAAAAGAGGGGGAAAGAAGTAGAAAGCATGAAGCCCTGCATGTGTTAAAAAATGCACAGCCTCATTAATAAGGAGAGAAATACAAATTCAGAGCAAAAGAAGTTCCACATAACATCCACTAAGTTAGGAAAATAAATGTGTAAAAGTCAAACTAAGTCATGAGTTTAATAAAGTCAGAGCTCTGTGGGCATCCGTTCAGGGATACTGGGAGGTGAATGTGTAGGAAGGGTCTGAGGGATGTGCTAACCCCTTCTGATGTTGAACATGCATACATCTACCACACAGGGATCCCCCCACAGCTGTAGGCATAGGCAGAGACAGACACCAGCAAGAAAAATCCTAGAAGAATCGCTCACGGTGGCACTAGACCAGAGACAATGCACATGCCATGTGTGCAAAAGGTCAGTGTGTGGTCTTTTTGCAGCAGTGATGTCAGTAAAGGCCAGTCATGTGCATAGCTGTGGTGCATCTGCAAAACACAGTGAATGAGGAAAAGTGATCATGGAATAAACCATAATAAGAATTAATTCATTTAAGGTTCAAAATCAAGAAAAGCCAATGATATATTCTTTCAGGACTCATGTGTCAGTAGGAGGCTAAAAGGAAAAGAAGGGAATTATTAACACATGATTTTGGCCATTGCTTCCCAGGGAGCATGGAGGATAGAGAGAAGGAGACCACACCCTTAACATGCCCACCAGTTATTATTCCACCCGAAGGGCATACTCATATTTTTCTATCTCTTCTCCACCTTCTTTCATCAAAGGGAATGTCTTTTTTCATCTAAAATCATACTTCCAGGAGTGACTGGAAGAGTGCTTCTGTGGAGCGTATCCTTCTAATATCTTCCATGATGTTTTTAAAGCATAAAGATGGCACATCTCAAAGTGCAGAAACACAGTTAAAATGGAATAATGCATCTCGTACAAAAAAAGAGCCTTTTCTAAGTTACAGATAGCACTGCAAGGAAAATCTTAGAACATGAAATTGTATGTGCCTAGGCAGGAACATCTGTAAGACAGACTCATAGAAACAGGATTTCTGGATCTCTGTACAGCCACCCCTCACTATCTATAGAAAATTGGTTCCAGAACCTTCCTTGGATATCAAAATTGTCACATACATCAATTCCTTATTTTAAAAACAGGGCATAGATTTGCACATAATCTATGCATATCCTCCTGTTTACTTTAAATCATCTCTAGTTGGCTCATAAAGCCTAACACAATATGAATGTTATACAAACAGTTGTGTTGTGTTGCTTAGGGATTAATGTCAAGAAAAGTAATGTGCGCGTGTCGGGCACACACTCAGTTTTTCCCAGAAATTTCTCATGGATACAGAGAGTGATCATTATCTGGAATTTTCCATCTCCATCTTACAGAACACAAACCCAGGAGCTAGATACACAGGACAGCCCTATTTCTTCGGAAGAATTCTTGACATGCCCCATTTTACTGATGACACAGGACAGGGGGATGTGAATGTGGGGAGGGGTTCCTGCAGCCCTCAACATGAATTCTGGCAAGCCAATATTTAGAGACCTGATGTTTTCTTGAGATTGAAGCCTGATCCTTTACCCCACTGTGAACCAGGGAAAAGACAGCAGCTCCAGAATTAGCCAGGCAGAACCCGCCCACTTAAGACCTTCATGTGCCCCGTTGATTGGGACACCCCTTCATATCGCTGAGGTTCTCAAAGCCAAGCACAGAAGAGAGAGGTGGAAATCTCACATCCTTCCTGCTTCAGGTGCACCTGTGGGGTAACATAAAGAAGTGTTCTGATCTACCCACACCAGGAAAAGGGCCCTGGCTGGTCCTGATCTTTCCAATGTTTTCTTCTGGAATTTCCCAGGAGAGCAGAGTTCTCCCCACCATGCCTGGGAAGACTTGAGGGTCATTTTTACCCCACTGGGATCAGCTTCCCTGTCTGCCGTAATTGTATTTGTTAACTGTGTTCTGATGACAAGGAACACGAAGAGGGGAGGGAGCAATGCAATTTGTGAAATGATTCATCTTGAATAATTTGCTATTGATGCATCCCTGGTAATCTCAAGAAATCTGATGAGGTAGAATTGAAGAAAATTTAATTATGGAGGCAAGCATCCGAGATGGTACTGTAATAGCATTTCCCACATTAACCTCATTTCTCACAAGGTATTGTTTCTTTTTTTTCTTGCATCACCCACAGTATTTGGTTCCCAACATTTGAATGTCTGTTACCTGTTCTTTTTGCTTTGAAATGTCCTGCCTTTTGTGAGCTTGGGCATCTCTCCATCTCCCGCTCCCATTTCTGCAGGGTGGAAGCACAAAGGGGTTGGGTCTCGTAGAGAAATTAGGACCTACACCAAAGACAGATGGTTCTGTTCTCCTGGCACATGGCACTGGCACTGCCCACTCTGTCTTCCAGTATCAAAGAGAACTAGGCTTAGGACAAGGATCTCATAAAACCATGAAAAAGAAGCCCTGCAAAATCCTAGCAAGACAGAATGCATTCTCAATGCCTGTTCTCCCTTCTCCCACCTGTTCACTCTGAGCCATAAAGCCCAGGCCCTCAGCTTCCTGGGACACTGGGAACAGAAGAAATGAAGTCCTTGTCTGTGTTGGTTAGAGTGAAGACATGCTTTGAATTCCCCTAATCTCATTGCATTTAGAAACAAGAACAGGCTTGGGATCTTTCTGCCTCCGTCATCCCCACCACTACCACCTGGGACTAGAAGAAAGAGCATGTTAGAAGATAGAACATGCCCCTTATCAGGTGCTCATTGGCGGAAACATCTGCTCTCAGGCAAACAGGAAGCATTGTCTTCTGGGCACTGTGTTGTCTCATAAGCAGATGCTTCTATTCCAATTTACCGTAGCTATGGCAAAAATCTGCTTTCTTCAAAAGAGTCTATTGGATTCTTTTTTTTAAGTACGTGCCTGTACTTGAAACGGTAATTAATGGAAGCCTTTTCCAATTGGAAGCATCTAGCTTTTCTCTTTCACCCCCAAACTCTTAAAAATTCTGCTTCCTCATCTTTAAGCCCTGGAAGAAGCAAGAGTCCTCTCGTATCTACCTTACTATGATTGCACACTGTGAACTTGTAACCAAGTCCCTTGCCAGCACTATAGGAGCCAGGATGAGTGTCCCCATCATCAGGGACAACAAGGTTTCTGAAGACTAGTACCCAGATGAAGATAGAAACTTTAACTGTGAGCTTGTAGGTGAGCCTACACAGAATATCGTGGTGGAGCGCATAGCTCTGGGGTCAGCCCAACTGGACTGAACCAGTGTTATCACCTCTATTTCCTTGTCTATAAAATGGACATGGTAAAACTACCCCTGTGATTTTGTGAGAGGATTATAAAGTGATAAAATGAAAGATAATAATAAAAAGAATAAAATACCTTTGGTACTGCCATCGATATTTTATCTGAGTCAACACATTTAATCCTCATGAAGTCACAAGGGGGGCATTAGTGCTATCCCCCATTTTGTAAACAAGGAAACCGGGACACAAGGAATCCAAATCAGAAATCTCGGTCTGGTATGTGGGGTACTGAGGTGTCAGCCTGACTACACCCAGGCAGAGAGGCTGGCACTCGGGGAATGGTCATCAAAGCCGGGTTGTTAGGAGGCTACCCTGCCCCACTCTAGTCCACACTTCATGCTTCCCAGGGTCACTTTGCTGTGGTGAGCTCACACAGCGTGCATTAGACCAGAGTTCATGGTGAATGCTCAGCAGCCTAGAGCCAGGCTTTGAGGCCAGGCTGTGGCTCCAACCTCAGCATTTCTGTGATTTGGTAATGAGGCTTCCCACTGGCTATTTCCTCTGCCTGGAATTCTCTTCCCAGGACTTCTTTGACACCTATCAACACTTTGTCCTGATGTCACCTTCCCAAGGAAGCCTCCCCTGCCTACCCCATGCCACTCTCTAACCCAGAACATAGTGACCATTTCCCATAAATGATTAGGTAGTAGATATTCAGCTTTGCAGGATAAATACTGTCTCTGTCTCAGCTACACACATCTGCTACTGTAGCACCAAGGGGCCACTGCTAAGCAGGCCTGGATGCGTTCCTAGGAAACTTTATTTATTAAAACAAAGGGTGGAATGGCTTTGGCTCAAAGCCATGGTGTATGGCCCTCTGGTTTGACCTCAGTGCCCTATGTATGATCTCCATGACATCCATCACTACCTCAAATGACCTTCTTTACCCATTTGTTTCTTTCTCCACTCAAAACGTGGCATCTTTGGGTACCACTGCAACACCACCTCTCTGGCCAGTTGCTTCATCCCATTACTTAGAGCAGAAACTGGTTGCTATATTTGGTATATCTGTGTCCAATAAGTAAATTTTTCTTTCAGATCAGAGATGCTTCGTAGTTGTGTGTTGAATGACTTCCTTATACAAAGTAGATGCTGAGAAATATGTATTTCCAGGGAGACAGCTCAGTCTGTAAGTGCTTGTCATCCAAGCTTGAGGACCTGAGTTTGGATCCTCAGTTACCCACATAAGAAGCTGGGAGCAGAGGACATACATCTGTAATATCAGTGTTTGCAAGGCAGAGATAAGTGTATCACTGGAGCTCACTGGCCAGCCAGCCAGCCTAGCCAAATCAGTGAGTTCCAGGTTCAGTTAGAGATCATGTCTCTTGAAAAAGTAAGATAGAGGGCCAGTGAGATGGCTCAGGGGTACAAGTGCTTGCCCCAAAACCTAATGACCTGAGTTCAATTCCTGGGACCCACATGGTAAAGGGAGAGACTCCTGCAAGTTGTTCTCTGACCTCCACATGAGTATTCACACATCATACACACTCACACACACACACATACATGCACTCACTCTCTATATATGTGGAGAGAGAGAGAGAGAGAGAGAGTCAGTGAATGCCTGAACCACTGAATACGGTCATAAGTATGTGTCAGATGAATAAACAGATGTCCTGCAGAGTTGCCTTTTCCTTTGAAGACAGTTTCTTTGCTTGTAAGCATGGGCCTGCCTGAAGGTCTTCATGAGATTGTCACTGGAGTTAAATGAGATGCTGTTCACTTGGTCTCCCGCTGCTAGCAGTAGTTAGAAAAGATGTAGAATTCTTAGAAAGGGGAGCTTTACAGGAGAAAGTGGTCAACTGCAGGCAGTCTTGAGGTTTTAAAACTCGGGACTCATTTCCTGTTCACTGTCTGCTTCCTAAAGATGGATGTGCTGTGACCAGGCAGCCTCCTGCTCTTGCCACCACACTTTCTCTGCCATCTGTCATGTGTCTTCTTCAACATGATGGACTGTATTCTTCTAAAACTGTAATCCAAAAGAAACCTTTTCTTCTTAACAAAAAAAAAAAAAATTTTTTTAAAAATGAGATGCTGTTGAGCTGATACAGCTCTGGGTTCACAATAAGCTGGCTTCTGCTTGCTAATTCTTCTGACCATGTCCTTGTTACCTTTGGCTTTCAGATGAGGCATTGAAGCTGCACAGCGGGCCTTTCCGCAGTGCCTACATGGAGCAGAGTTTCCAGAGTCTGAACCCTGTCCTCAGCCTGCCCATTAACCCAGCCCAGGTGGAACAGGCTCGGAGGAATGCAGCCTCCACCGGCACAGCCCTAGAGACCTGGCTGGACTCGCTGGTGAGCGGGACCTGGACCGCGATGGACATCTGTACTGTGGGCCCCACCTCCTGCCCAGTCATGCAGACCTGCAGCCAGACAGCCTGGAGCTCCTTTAGCCCTGACCCCAAGTCAGAGCTAGGTGCAGTCAAACCTGATGGCCGGCTCAGGTAGCACCGGCCGTGTGGGACTGATGGAGCCTGAACCCGGCCTCTGAACTTGGGGGAGGGTCTTTTGTGCACAGAGCTCTGCTAGCTGTAGAATGATGGAGAAAAAGGGGTTGGAGGCCAGAACAGGGTAGCCTGTTTGGCAGGCTGGCCTCTCCTAGAACCACAGTGGTCTCTCCTCTTCCGGTTGCTCCTCAGGTCCTGCAGGTTCCTGTCTTCCCCTCCACTGACCTGCACCTGTCCCCTGAAAAGTGAGTTTCAAAATTTTATTTTGAGCAGCAGAACTTTGTTTACTCAGCACAGTCGTGGGTGGAAGTTCAAGGTGAGGGTGAAATTCAGGCTGCTCTGGTTGAAGCTGAGGAGTGTGAGGTTCCTTCTCGAAGCTCAGCCCACCAGGTGATCCCTTTGCCAAGGGCATTTCCTAAGGTACCTCTTCTGAACCTAAGGGCTCTGCATAAGCAGTTTGACAAGCACTGCCTGGACCAAGGCGGGCACTCCAGGGAGACCCTCTCCTTATGTTTATCTCTTGGTCCCTTTGGCTGGGAAACCCTGTGTCCATGCTAAAAAGCTACTGAAGGTCATGAACATGGGCCTTTCCCAGAGAGGCATCAGACTTGGAAGAGTTCTAAGCTTCCCACTGGCCTATCTTGGGTTGAGCTGATCTCCCTGAAAACCTAAGGTTCAGGAAAACCTTTTGATGTGACGTGGCCAAGGTCTACCTGGCCACATGACTGCCAACTTTCCATCAGTCTAGTCTACCCTCTGCCAAGGCTGTCACATGGGGTACTAGGAACAGGGCGAGGCTTCTAGAGCCTGAGCATCAGGTCTCCTGGCTGTCCCTGAGCTGGGAAGCTGAGACTGTGGCCTCTTTGGTACTTGAAAATTGGAACATTGGTGACCCTGGCTCTAAAACACACAAAAGATTGCTTAGAGCAAAACTCCCAAGCTGGACAGCAGCACAGCAACATCCCTTCTGGTCTGAGATCAGGCATCCCAAACCTTTGTGAACTGCACATTTGGTGCTGTTGGCAGTGACCAGACTTCACAGACCAGACTTCTCCTGCCCAGGAACAAGCATTTCAGATTGGGTTTTTAATTTCACACCCTTCTTTATTCGAGGTGCCAACAGACTCGTCTTGGCCACGACATATAAAAGGAAAGAGTTTCAAAACTGGGAAGGTGGCTCAGAAAACCAAAAGTATTATTGTTCACACTGTTTGAATTACCAGAATCCCGAGGGTTTCTTTATCGTGTGTGTTCTAAGGGACATTAATGAAGAAAATACCCTTCTTCCATGAGACCCCAAGTGGTAGAGTCCTCTGGGAAAAGTTGCTCCCATCCTTCCTGTAGAGAGCTGGTCTTGAATTTTTCCCTGTGTGGGTGTGCAGGTGCTGAAGTTCACCTCGGTGGTGTGTCTACTGTGCAGCCCCTTTCCTACCCAGCAAGGCAAGTGTCACATTGGCAATGGAGGACTTCGAGAAAGGAAACTAGATATTTATTATTTATATGTTTTAGTCAATGACTAATTAGTAGGTGCTGTTTTTGCAGCTTGTGAATTATGTTGTCTTACTAACTGAAACTGCCTTTATTCACAAAAGGCTTCCCCTCCACCCCTTCCTAGTCTGCCTGCCTTTCTCGCTTGTTCTCACTGTTTCTATCTCTCAGTGTCTACCCTCACCCTTCCAGGACTTAGAAAAAGCAGGGGTATTAGACACCATGGGGCAGTTTGAACTAGAGCCATCCACTGTGAGGAAGTAGATGCCTTTGGAGTCTGTGGAGCCTTGCTTTTCCTTACACAGGATATTGGTCTTAACTGTTACTCTAAATCCAAGTTTTGGAAGTCCTGAGCCACTCCTGCTCCAACCCCCAGCCCGGGGACAGGGATATGACAGGCTCATGACCTGGGGAGGGAGAAATGTGCTGCCTGCAGAGCTCTGGGTCCATTCGTTTGCTCCAAGTTGGACTTTCAGTTTAACTGTGAACCTCGAGGTCGCTATGGCACAGAGACAGTTCCTTCCAAAGGTGATGGATCTTAGGAAAAGGGAGTGCGGCCAGATCCAGCCAGGAGAGCTTAGGAGATAGCTGTTGTCTGTGGCAGCCCTAAGGTTATCCAGTGGCTTTCTCTGAAAGTCTGTAAGATCTACACTGGTCTTATAAACCCCATGGGAATCATGAATCTGATGCTTCATTCTTTCAACACCTCCAGCCACTGTTCTGACCAGGGTTTCCCTGGGTATGTGGAACCCCTAGGGGTCTTCCCCTTATCCTCCTTATGAGCATTAGGGTTTTGTGTCTTCTGCCCTGACAGGTCCCTGGGAACATTAGGAGCTATAGACTCTGAGATAAAGTCCCTTCTGACTCAGTGGCATTTGTGACCCTTTTCCATCCTGGAGCTAGTTGGGAATGGTAGAGCCAACTTACTTTGGGACCACCTTCCTCCTCATGAACTTCCCTCCCTGCTCCCCACAATTGTATTTCTTTGTCTCCTCTGTTTTGGGCTCAGAGAATAATTTTGCAGATGTTGCATTTGATAAAAAACAAATCTCATCATAATTTAAGAAAAGGAAATGTCCCATGGAAAATAGAATAATTTCTTTTTTATTTGTGTTTACCTGCCCAAGAACAAATTATTTCTTGGAGCTCAGTGGTCAAGCATCCTTGAGTAGCTGCCTGAGGGTTTCAGAAGCATAGAACCACCACCTCTGGAAACGTCGTTACAGTCTGCAGTATGCAGAAGCAAGAAGCTAAGGGCTAGCTGCTGACCAGGTCCCTGGAGACACTGGAGAGCTAAGAGGGGAGAGTTGAGGATCTGCGTTTGGAGAGAAGGAAGTGTTTTTAGACAGCAGCTCTCTGTGCCATTTCCCACCCAGCCAATGGCACTCAGGCAGAAACAAATCTCAGATGGCAACCTTCCTCAAAACCTACTTCCCAGGTCATGCCCAAAGTAGGCCATCTCCAAGAAGGAACTGGACCACTCCCAAGGGGTCCCTGTTCTGAGAATACATTCCTCTCTTCTGAAAGGGCCTTTTCTGCTGAGATCAGCCCCTCTGGTTCAGTTCTCATTGTTAGTTTAACTTTTTAAGTTGAAATGGAGTTTAGAAGGGATGAACAAGACCACATCCCCACCCACACACTCTCTAAAAGGGGGTGTATGCTAAGATGTGCAAGGACCGTGCTTCCATGCTTCCTCTGGCTGTCTAGTTTTAGGGTAGGCAGGAAGTGGTCATTAGTTGAACCGTGATCCATCTGCCAAGAAGACTCAGGACAGGAAAGAGCAATGGCCACAGATGTTGAGAATGAGGAAGGACGTCTTCAACAACCATGTCCATGTGGGTTCAGACCTGATAGCACTTTGGGAGTTGGGATAGACCAGAAACTAATGCCAGCCAGGTCAGCTTGAACATGCAAAGACTTGTCAGGTCAAAGGCACACTCTATTGTCTGGGTCACAAAAGCATAATGAGATTCAGGACACAAGCACAGATGATCAAAACCTCAGGTGTGAGACCAAAGGGAGTAGTGGGGAGTGTGGTCTTCATGTGTGTGACCTCTCCAGAAAGACCAGCTGTGACTCAGTTCCCTGACTACCAGCACAGTGTGCAAGAACCCAGGCTTGGCGTAACAGAATCTTTCAATTTGGTAAGGGAAACCAGAAATTCAGATATTTTAAAAGAGGAATCTGACTTGTTAATGTCAGCTCTTTTTTTCTTTCTTTCTTTCTTTCTTTCTTTCTTTCTTTCTTTCTTTCTTTCTTTCCCTTCCTTCCTTCCTTCTTTTCTTTTCTTCTTTCTTTCTTTCTTTCTTTCTTTCTTTCTTTCTTTCTTTCTTTCCTTCTTTCTTTCAACAGATGTGGGTAGAAAAACAAAGCTCCATAGCTGTGCTTGTGCAAACCCTTCTTTCTGGAAAGGTAGTTTGAAATGAGTTCTCAGAGTCTCTTCCATCAGTTCCTCTGGTGGAAGAGAGAGGAGCCAGAGTTAGAGAACTGCAAAAAGAACATTGAATTGTGAAGGTAACAGGACTTCTGCTTAGCCGTTCCCTTCTCAGAGAGGCCATTCCGTTGGCAGGGCCAGCTTATCAGCTCTCTTGGTCCCAAGAAGTTTGTGCTGAAGAGAGGAAAGAATGCAGTCTGGCGGTCCGGAGGGCTGTCTCTTAGACACACAGAGGCCCTTGCTGCCTGGGTCCCCACCTTCTGGGATTACATCAAACCAGACAGAGATGGCAATGGTGGCATCCAGACATGGGGCTGCTGTGTGAAGTACTTGGGTTCTCTTCAAACTCCACATCTGAGCAAGCTGTGCTGCCACTTCTGGAAGGGTTTCCAGAAACCACATGGAGCTGTGCTTGCTCACAAGTGGTAAATCTTTGCTTCTGCCTCAGTTACCTTACTTTGCCCATGGGTCAACCCCAGGCGCTACCTCAATGTTTGCTGAGAAGTTTACCTGGGGGTGGAATGATGTTGGCCAAATGTGCTGGAGCTGAACAATCTATGCAAATATTCTCTCTCTCTCTCTCTCTCTCTCTCTCTCTCTCTCTCTCTCTCTCTCTTTCTCTCCCCCCTTCCCTCCCTTTCTCTCTTCCTCTTTCCTTCTCTTTTCTCTCCTTTCTCTTAGATTTTTTTTAACCTTACAAACAAGATACTGTACAGGACCCTCTGAAGATGAGGAGGGCTATCATGCACCATCTGTGTTCACCCCCACGTTGTCTTTGGTTCTGTTCTTGCCATGCCCCACACAGGGAGAAACTAGCCTCTCTTGTCTCCCCGCTTGGCAGAGAATGCTCCCGCAGCCCCTGCCTGCAGACATCACCAGGAAGCGGGCACAGAACCTTGCCTCCCATGCATGCTCCTAGCGCCATCTTCTCCTTCTGCGTTTTCCTCCAACTTCCTTCTCCTACCTCCCATCACCACCCCCTCCAAAAGCCTTAGGTTTCTCCTTTTTGAAATGTGGCCTTAAAATTATTTTTGGAAAGCTGACATCCTCCCCCTCCGATTTTCCCCACCATGGCAGAAGAGAGAGCATCTTGAAGCTTGCGAGCAAGGCAGCCTCCTGAGCGAAGGGACTGCCAATCCGTAGTTGCAGATGCACTAGGAATGGCTCACGAACATCGTCTTTAAGAAGAATGTTCTTCTATTTCTCCTGTGGGCAAAATGAAGGCCCGGGTGCTCGGTGCTGAGCTAGTTCTGAAGCACTGTCATGAGCATGTTGCCACAGCAGTGAGCTGGCGTCATCACCGGCAGGATGCTCATCACGGCTTTCCAGCCTCCCCCTCCCCCCAGAACCCAGTGACTTTAGGGTAATTCATTCAAGGGTAAATCAGGAGTGTTTCTCAATTTAGCCCTTCGTCCTTCCTGCCTAGAAAGTGATAGCATTAAATAGTCCCCATGGATGGGTCGTGTTCTCAAAGGGATGCTTCTCTCCCTCCTTTGGACTCCATCCTGAACCCTCCCATCATTCCAGTGCTGATGGAGGCCAAAGACAACCCCAGGGTTTTCATAGGAAATTCACTGGTATTGGGCGCAACTGTCTTTATTTGTCTGTCTTTTCTTTTAAAGAAAAAAAAAATGACTCTTACGTCGTCAGTAGCATTTGTTTGGATGTTTTAGAGGCCTCGTGATAAGTTATAACTGCCTCCCTTATTTGTTTTCAAAGACAAGTGGTGATATAGTTTTTAAAAATAACTATTTTGTTATAGATCATAATATGCATAAAACTGTACAGAAATATTTTGTAATGTATTGATTTTAAAAAAAGAGCATCTGTAAATAAAAGTTTTAAAAAAATAAGAGAGCGTTCACATGGCACACACTGAAAGATGTAGATATTTTGCTATTTATTTAAAGGAATATTTTAAGAGATATTGAACTATCTGAAATTGACCAGTAATCAAAGTTTTAATCATCTGAGTACTTTCCTCAACGTCGAATCTGATTCTCAGACACTATTGCATCACCCACCGACACCCGCACCTTTTCTGTCTTTTCATTTAGCAGGAAACAACAACAACAAAATTGTGCCTTAGCTGTATTTTTTTGTCTAGGGGAGTTCGTTTCTGTCCGACAAAGCAAATGTTTTTGCAGAAAACAGTGGATGTATTAAATACTGTATCATACCAAAAACACTGCAGGTGTATATACATGCTTTCTGCCATACTGTGTTTTCAGATGCAGAGTTTTAAAATTAAAAAAAAAAAACTACTGTCTTATGGAAATGTGTTTTATGGTTTCTTTTCAGCAATTTCATGAATGCTTGTACAACCTTCTGCTCTATTCCTTCACCTGTGTTGAATTAGTCAGGTTTCTCTAAGGAAAAAGAACTGGTAAAATGAGCATATACAGGGATTTATTAGTTTATCTTACGGGACAGAGTCCGAGTAGTCCAACAATGACTGCACCACACTGGAGAGACTGAGAATCTGGTAGTTGCTCAGTCTATGAGGCTAGATGTCTCAGCAGTCCTGTTCTGACACTGAAGGCCTGAAGGATTCCTGGAGCTCTGCTAGTCTTCAGTCTACATCGGAATCCAAAGAAGTTGGTTCTCCGCTCAGTGAAGGAATGCCAGAGCAGCAAGATGAAACTCACTGGGGTGAGAGAAGGCAAGCAGGCAAAAAGCGAAAGCTCCCTTCTGCCATGGCCTTTTATACGGGCTGCCATCAGAAGGTAACACCCCCATGGGTGGGTCTTCCAGCTTCAAATAATCCAGTCAAGTTGACAACCAAGATTAGCCATTACACATTACCACGGCAGCTAATGCTACATAATTGGCTACCTCAGCTAGGATCCACCAACTGAAAGGGTACAGGGACCACAGGCATAAAGCTGGACTCATGGCCTTACTTCCTCACAAAGGCTGCCATCATCTCCCCAAAGATCATTGCAGCACCCTCCCAGCAGTGTTTCTCTGGTTTTGGCAGAAGTGTGTAATTCTAAACCTTTAAAGCAGAGGTTAAGGACAAGAAACTACAATGTAAAGTAGCTTGGTTTGACTACCAACTGGTTAGACATGTGCGAACCTGCTTTCCTCTCTTTAGTACTCAGCTGGTCTACAAGTCCTAGATTGGGTGGCTCTTACATGCCCACATGATATTTAGTCAGTTGGATTCAGGTGAAATAAACTCAGGGTACTTCTAGCCCTGGCCCATAAAACCTCCCACTTGATTGATCCTCTTCTGTCTCAGTCTTTCCCTGTTCACCAGCTCATATGTTTTGAATCATCTTGTGGTTCACTTGTTGACTTGTCCTAGTCTAGCAATCTTTTTGAAACATCACAGCAACTTAACAGAGGGCAGAGGCATAACATAGGAGGATCCTGGGCCCCTGGAGAGCCATGTAAAATTTTACCTAACCCAAATCATCCATCTTGACAATGACATAAAAATGTGTGTGTGTGTGTGTGTGTGTAGATGTGGTACATACCTATTTATGTGGGTGTGTACACATATGGGTGTAGGTGCACATTTGCATGTGTAAACGTGTGCAAAAGCCAGAGATCAATGTCAAGTGTCTTCCTCAATCACTCTCCACGTTATTTTTTGGGACAGTATCTCTCAATCATCCTGAAGCTTGTTGATTCTACTAGGCTGGTTGGCTTCTGAACTCCAGGGATCCACTTGTCTCTCGCCTACCACCCCAGAAAATGTTTTAATATCTCTGAAAATTCATCCATTGCAGCAGCTAACCTTGTAACGAATCCATTGAGAACTAGAAATTACAGTATTCCCATAGGAAAATCCAAACTTTGACTTC